CCGCACCTAAAAAGTGCTCCCAAACATAGCCTTAGGCTTTGTGTGAAGCGATTTTCCTTAACTATTACTATAAAATGATTACTTTGTGAATCACAAATTCATTTTTTTTTTTTTTTTGGAATAGCATTATGTTATTAAAAGGGTACTTTGCCTGCTCTCATTTAGGTTGTTCAGTTTGATTACATGAGAAAATTTGAATAAAATTTTTGAACTAAACATGAAAATGGTATATATAGAGATTGGCTCATTCATCCATTTATGTTTTTCAACTACTAGGAAATTATTAAAATCTAATGATTGTAAATTAGGAATTTTGTATTTTAGGAAAATAGATATTAGTTAACCTAATTTGAGAATATCTAATTGTAAGATCTTTCTATTTTGTGAAATATAATTTGAGGATATCTAAATAAATGATTTTCCTTGTATTTGAAATATTATTAATTTGTGTACGCTAATCCTCTCTTATTTATATGAGGGATTATGTATGAAGGAATTGAAAGTGTCGATTTGTAACCCTGATTCAGCCGATTTTTTTCTCAACACAAGCCTACTCAGAACCTGCCTGGTCTCAGTCCATCTTGAGATGAAAAACACGTATGATCCACTAGGGTCCTTACGTAGTAAGCCCATGGAGTGGTCGTTATTGAATTTTGACCTTCAAAATGAGACTGATCGCTTTCCTGCAAAACTGCTGGACAAGCTTTGTCTTTGTTGTCGGTCACTTCTACCTTCAAGAAATTCTTCTTTTTCTTTTCTATTATCAGACATATAGAGTTCGAGTTTCTCTATTAGAAAACAAAACCTAAACGATGAAACAAAACTCTAACTAAACAATTAGCCACCAAAAAATCTGATCTCACAACCCTACTTCGATCTTGGCTCTTGTCAAAGATTTATCAAAAAACCTTAGAAACAAAACTTCTCGTTATCTTAGACTTTCATTCATAGCGGCCTAGCTTACCGATCTACCCAAAAAAAACTAGTCTGGATCGTAAAGTAGCACTTATATGTAGCACTTAAAGAGGTACATATAATGTTCATATGATGATACTTGAATTAGTTATTTTTTTAAAAAAAATTATTTATGTTTCTCTTGAGTTCAATGATCCTTATATAAAATCTATGTATTTTAATATATATATATATATATATATATATATATATA